CTTCTCCCACAGAGGCTGAAGAACACTTGGTTCCTCTGTGCCCAGACCTGTTGGGCTGGGCTATATTTATCCAGGTGCTTGTCTTTGGAGAATCTCCACAATGTGAAAAATCCGATGTGCAGAGCAGGGAGTGTTCCTGCCAGACCCCTGGCAGGTCATACCCGGTGACTGTCACTGCTGTAACGTGGGACGTGCCACGCACACCCTGCAGCTCCACACGCTCCACAAGCAACTAAAAGCAGGAGCAGGGTGGTTCCATCGTTAGGAGGCTGGATCAGGGACCCATGTGAAGTTCTCAGGTCAACCACAGGCCCCCAGGGTCCATCTCACAAGGACTTTTAGAGATCTAAACTAGTTTGTGTGAATTTAGGACTCTTGGTACGACATGAGCAGCCCTGAGCACACAGATGCCCAAAAGCTGTTTTGTTAGTGGACTGTGGCCTTCCCGACCTGCCAGATCCTTCCATACCATCCCAGCGAGCAGGACAGATTGTGGGAGGCAGTGGGATACTCCCAGGGCTGAGGGGGCTGTCTGGAGCAGGGACAGTGCAGGACACATGGACCAGGGTGCCAGGGTGCCAGTGCTCCCTCTGCTCTCCTGTGAGTCTCAGCAGCCTGAACTTCGCAGCACAGCCCATCAGACAGCTTTCTCCAGCACAACATTCCCAGATGGAAACACCCAGCAGCCCTAACAGACAGCACTTTGTTGGCCTGGGAAGTGTAAAAGATAACATCGTGTGGTGCCCAGCTCATGTTGCTCCCTGAGCTTTATGTTACTCCCCGAGGCTGTTGCCAGTCCAGCATTCCTGCCTGGCCCATCCCGCGGGGTCGGGACACACTCACGGAGAGCAGCACCCGCCTCGTATCGCACCCCTCACCCCGGCAGGACGTTTTCATCACGTGTATGTCACCCCTGCCCAAGCCCCAGAATCTCTGGGTGCAGAGACTCCCTTCCCCATGGCTGACAGGGAATTCGGAAGTCCTGTCACCCCAGGCAGATTTCCATGGGATGACTGATGGAAACACAGACAAGGTCTGTTAGAACTGGGTTACAGCATGCTTGGAAAAACTTGCTATTCCTCCTAGGTCACTTAGCTTAAGGGTTTGGGGGTTTCACCATATTTTAATTCTGTTCCAGCAAAAGCTGTAGTGTTTTGACCAGCACTTCGCCTGCTGCTACAATCACTTCCTAATATTCTCTGATACCAACAAACCCAATCTCAGTCTTAAAGGTCTTAGACCCATCAAGAAAAGCACTCACAGACACCAGATGCTGCTGTTATTGGCAGTGATGATAATAATAATAGCCCTAAAAAACCCACTAGTATTTCACATTTTCAAGTTGTCCAGTTTTTACCCAAATCCAGAATTTTTCATGTTCTTTCCGTGTCCTATAAGAACAAAAATGTCTGACCACAGCAGATAAGAGACAACTATACCTAATAAAGTACAACAATAGCAGAAATCAGCCCAAAGAGGAGAAAGAGATATTAGTCTTTCCCTTCCCAAAGAGCTTCCCCACCCTTGGAGAAGAGGGATCAATGTCACAGTTCCCTCTTCAAAGAGACTCAGGGAAAGTCCAAACAATGCATGGCCAGCATCCATTTGCTATAAAAGCACAGAAGTGCAGCACAGACAATGCCAGGCTCCCGTCACGGCTCCGCGTGTCTTCGGGAGGATATTTGACCTCCAAGGATAAGAGTGGCCGGAAAGTCAGGGAGTGAGGTTTCCTGTGCTTTAAAGTACAAGATGACTTCACTCACCTCCACGTCCTTCAGCACTGAGTTGTGCTGGCCTCCCTAATTCCCCCTGGGATCGCCTGTCCTGGGACAGATCACAGTGCCAGGCTTTAGCCGTGCAGTTGTACTTCCCTGTAGTCGCTCCAGCAGAAGCGACAAGAATGTGAGCCCACCTGAGCTCCTGGAGTCCCTATCCCGTTCCACACTGTGCAACAGTGAGCTGCCTTGCCTGGTGACACACACAAACACTGCTCTGCACCAGCAGAAGGGCAGGTGATGGTCTCAAAATTGGATTTGCTGAGTCTGAGTCAAAGATGACGCCGCCACAGCTGCGCATCGCACGGCAAAATCTGCCTCTCTCTTCCCGCCCTGCAGTCACCCCGCTGGGGGAGGAGGGAGCAGCCACGCCTGCTGGGAGATAAGAGGGAGATCGGAACCCTCTAATCAGGGCAGGGAGAAGACAACATCTGGAAGAGGCTGCAGACTGTAGGAGCTCTTAGGGATGCTCCCATGGGGAGAGGGAACCTGGGGAACGCCAGCCACTAGCCCACAGCTTCATCTCTCCCATCTTTGGCTCTGCCCGCACTGAAGGGGAAGTGCTCTCAGCCCCTGCCTCACCTTCCTCAAGCCCAGTTGTCTCTTGATTTAGCAAACTCATTATAAAGTCTCCAAGCCCTTAGAAACGTGCCCTTCCCCCTCCCAGTCTTCCAGCTTGAAGTCAATTAATATCAGGTAATTTACTCTGAATTAAAAGCTCTGGCACGAGGCTCTGGCCTGGTTTAACTTGGCCAGCACACACCACACCCTCCGTAAGTCCCACAGCCTGGGCACAGCCCCGGCCCTGAGCACAGCGGGGAGAGCTGGGCAAAGGGCAAGGCAGGAAAACAGCAGGAAAAACCAGAGAAAAGGGAGCCCAGCACGATAAGGACGTGCTGACTGGGCAGCCATTTACACTGCTTCTAGTTCCATGGCCTTTTTGGGACACAGGCACCCTGGAAGGGAGGACAACCTTCCAGGCTAGCTTATCCTGCCTTCATCAAGGGAGCCCAGCTTATCCCATCAGTACTTTATTGACCACCATGAGATGAAGAATTGCCTCATTTTAGGGCTGGTCCTGCTTCACCCACAAAGCCGAGCAGGACCCTCTGCCACTGCCATGTAGGGTTTGACCAGATGAGCCTCTCCAAGAGCAGATCCCAGTTTTTCTTTTGAACAGAGCTTGGGAAGGAGAAGCAAAAACCAGGGTGACCATGGCTGCATCCCTGGTTCCTCCTGTTGCTTCATAGCTGGGGCCTGGGACCTGCTGTGAGCTCCACGGGCCAGACTCGGTGCCACATTCCTGCTGCAGTAACCTGGATTTCAGTCCATTACGGACACAGCCCTGGGGCAGTAAGTGAAAGGGAGCCAGAAATATGACATTAACATGCAGAAACATTCCCATCTATCATCAGCTGTGGGACTCAAGTGATTGGGTGGTGCAGAGGAAACAGAGCAGAGCGGGGTTTTTAAGAGCACAAGTTCCCTTTTCCAGGTACCTTATGCTAATGCACACGGAGATCTGGGAGATAGGAACAGTTTGAGGACTGTAAAAGGAAACCAGTAGACAGCTATTAAGGGAGGAAAAATTCACAGGTACCCAAGCTTGGGCACAGGGATGGGTTTTATTACAGTCAGAGGGGTTGGCAGAACACCAAGTTTCTATTCTAAGGTGAATGAGAATTTAGACCTGTATATAAGTGTGTGTAGGGACTTCAGCACTGACCACAAGAGAGATGAAAGGAAGAATATACTTGCTCCAAAATGCATGTGAGAGTCATTTCTAGCAGTGCCTCAGTGCTTAGGAGGGTTACTGGGACAGTAAAGAGGCTGTGAGTTGTGAGGCCGAGCCCAAAATGTGCCGGGGTTCTCCGTACACTCTGTGTGCAGCTTCACCTGAAGAGCTGCATCTCCATAAACACATCCCTCTGGCAGGGCTGATAAGATCAGTGAGAAAACTGTCTCTGCCCTCACCTCAGGGTGAAACACATGGAGCAAAATACCACAAATGAGTGTTTCCAACACACGGAATAAAAACGGATACGTAAGGAATCTAGGGCAGGTCTGCTGATGATACAACAAGCCCTGCAGCAGAGGGGAAATCCCAGGTGGCAGGGATGACTCCTAAGTATTCCCTGGGGATTACACACACTTTAGCCTAAATCCAGTGAAGACCAAGCCTTGAGAGGAAGCTCCACTGCCTGCCCATAGCTGTCAGGGCAGCCCCTGGCACATGCCAAGCACACTCAGAGGTCCCCTCACAGGAAATCCCATTGAGGACATTGAGCAACTTCTTCCTTCAAGCCAACAATGAGTATTTTAAAGAAACCTTTGATTTCTGACAAACTTATCAGGAGGTGAGCAGGGTCCAACCCAAGCACAGAGTGCCCCTGGGCTTTCCTGAAGTGAACTAAGAAACCTTTCAGACTTTGCCTTGGCTTCCCTTCAGCTCACACACTGGAGCAGAGGTGAAGATCTTGGATGCCAATACAAAGTATTTCCTGAGATTTTTTTATATCTTGTTTTCCCCTTCCCCCCCCCCCCTTGCAGTTCTGCTATCAGAGCAGTGCCTGGATCTCTCTCACATCTTCTCCCACATTATTTATGATTCTCATCTGAAAGAGGAGGAAAAAAATCTGAACTGAGCCTGTCTGCCCCTCACCAAGCACTCAGCCATCTCAGCCCAATTTCCTCCATCCTTGTGCTGCCAGTGGAGCAGCATTCACAGTTATTCCACTTTTCCTTATGTGGGTAATCCCCTCATAACCATACTTGAACAGCTTAAAATTACCACATAACAAAAGCGAAGTGAATGGCACTCTAGGCATGACAAATGACTCAGGACACACAGCCACGAGCACACGGGCACAGGGACACGCTGGGAAGGCAAAGGTCACCTCAGTCCCTGTTTAACCTCAGGCAGGGCAGCACTGCTGGGGAAAGACGTGCTGGAATGCCACCGATTTGGGGTGTGCCTGGAAGGGATGGGCAAGAGTGAGAAGAGGAAATAGGTTTTGAGAAAGCATCCTGAGATGTGTCACCTCCAGCCCAGGTCACAGCAAGGAGAGGTGTCTGGGAGCAGGAGGGAACCCCCCTGTGCTCGCCCGACTGCTCCATCTGCTCGGAGACCCCAACTCGGAGCAGGAAGGGCAGGATGCACAGGGATAAATCACCTGACAGCCTGTTTTATAACCACTGACACTGTCTCTTCTGCTTCTGCTGCAGTTGCCCGGCCTGTGAAGCAACATGAGTCACAAGGGATCCCTCAGCAGCAACCCCGGCTCATCCAAGTAAGGATCTCCATGGTGGGCTTCCTCCACCACTCCTTCCTACCATCAGGGGATGCTCCAAGTGCTCGCGCTTGTCCCCAAAATCCCTGGTGTTTGTTTCACCCTTCCTGGGCACCTCAGAACCTGGCCCTGCCTCACACATCACCTGCCTGTGTGCTGTGGTTTGATAAGGCCACATCAGGTGGAGAGAGGAGGGGGACACCAGAAGCCTCTCCACCTTCAGCCTTGGGGCTACAGCAGCCCAGGGCAGCTTCCCAGTGGAGCCACAGCCACCAGGTCTCTCCCTCCTTCCTGCACAGTATAAGAGCACCATGAATTGCTGTCTGCCCTCAAGGGGACATAGTGACAGGAGAAGGTGCCCCTGTGCACCCACAGGCTACTGCTCCGTGCCAGACAGCCTGTCCACAGCACCTCAGATCCTGCTTGGATCCTCCTCTGCCAGAGGAAACGCTGTTATTTCCTGGCTGCTCAGTCCTACCCATGACCCAGGCATGGGGGTGGCCCTACATGGTGGTGCTTAGGGACCTGACACCCCAAAACCCCGCTGTTTGCACACAATTCCGTCCTCCCACATTTTTACACGGGATATGTTCTATACCTGAGCACCTGCCTTCAAAGGGGTACATCTCCAACAGGTCCATTCAGAAGGGATCATAATCTTGGCTGTTACACTGCCTCACGTTCAGGGGTACTCAGGCATAACACAGAGGGGTCTCCATTTACCTGGGCTGTTCCCTGGAACAACCCCCCTTATGGCACACCGGGAGCCGGGGTCCTTAAAGCAGCCCCTCTGGAAGCGCTGTCCTTCCCAGGACACCGTGTGCAGGTAACTCTAGTGGGACAGGCCTGGCTGGGCTGCTCCATCTCCTGTTTCCAGTGCAGGGCTCAGTGACATGTCCCCGTGGTGTGGATAACAGGTAGGGTTGCACAAGGAGAGCTGGCACAGTCCACGAGGAAATGCTTTCCCTGGTAATTCGGAGATGTACCACATCCGATGGATGTGATGGGGAGGAAAGGAAGGGCTGGTCCCTCTGGGACAGCTGCAGAGCTGCTGTGTGAAAGCTGATGTTAAAAAGATTTGGGAGCTGATGGTTGATTTGTACCCTCCTCCTTTTCCAGTGGCAGCATGGGCAAAGCTGACGGAGCCTCCAAGCTGAGCGCAAAGGACCTGTACGGTGAGTTGTGTCCACAAACACATCCCAAGTTTCCTATAGCAAAGGCACCTCTGGAGAGCTGGACGGGCTGTTGGGGAGTTCTAGGCTGGAACTCAACCAAAGCCACATGAATCCAGAGCTCCATACATGACAGGCTGGCCTGACCTGGCGGCAAAAACACATCTTATGTCTGTGCCAACACCTCCCGCACTGGGGACAGCTGAGATTTTGTGGGAACAGAACACTGCTTCCCCTCATCCAAATCCTCCCCAGGTCTGTTAGCAAGATCCCCTGATAAAGGACCTCACAAAAGAAAGACTGTCCTCAGCAGGTTAATGATTATCCTCTTCTAACTACTCAGTGAACCATGAAAACTCCGGTGCCCTTTGGCTCTTTGGAAGTGCAGGGAATGGGTAGGATGGGTGTTTGTGCACAGCCCAAGAGGCAGCTTGTTCACAAACCACCACGGAGAACATTTACGTACCAAAACCAATCTTGGTCTGAGCAGCTCTTTCAATGTTCCCCAGGGGAAGATTTGGCCTGTGGGGTGGGCTGAACAAGCAGAAAGTCTTGTGAGAAATCACCTCCTTCAGTTATTCCCTGGGAAGACGGGAGTTGTCTGGGGGAACACTCGCAGCTCTTGGGGAGTCTGAGCCTGCAAACTCTTCCTCTCGAGAGCTGGGATTTACACGGTTGATGTTTAATTGGGAATGAACAGGATGTGTGTGTTTCTCCTTGGAGATCTATTTGATCAGAAATCACCCTCAGCAGCTATGAGCTGCCAAGGTGGTTTGTTTGTCCCTGAGAAGTGACTTTGATTGCCATAGGGTTTTGGCTGAAGGTTTATCCAAGTGGAGTAGCCTGGAGCAGTGTCCCACAAGTGACTTATCTCACTGGGGAGAAGTGGGATGGCAGGGGCTGTACTTAGTGTTAAACAAAGCCATTGGTAACTAACTTCAATTAGCTGCCAATGAATGAAACACAGGGATACAGGTAGAGCAGAAATTTGGGCTGCCCTGGATGCTGCAGGATGGGCAGGTGCCAAGTGGGGGAGATGGAAGGACACATGATAAAGAAGCAAGATGATGAGGTGTGGAAATTTTGAGTGCACACAGGACTGCCAGTTCAGACAAACTCCTCCTGCCTCCAAGGGCATCATTCAGCTGTGCACTGAAACTCTGGCACATCCCATCAGGGGCAGGCCTGTGGTTTCCATGTAAACAGGAGTACAGAGGGGTGTAAAAACAAAGCCAGGAGCTGACAGTGGTGGTGGAGCCATGCAGGTGTGTGGGTTGGCACCCATGGGGGCAGGGGCCCAGGGCTCCGAGCTGACAGGGTTCCAGGGTGGGATCTAACACTGAGCCCAAGGCTGATGGTGCCATGGCACAGGGAGCAGGGAGCACCCCAGGATGCCTCTGCCACAAAAACCAGCCAGGGGAAAGGCTGACAGACTGCCTTTAGAACAAACACAGCTCTCAAATAAGCACTTTTCAACACAGAATTCCATCTTTTACATTTTTTTGCATGAACACACCCCAAAAGCAAATTTCACCAAGGTTGGGACCTCTCTGACCAAATTCCAGCAAACCTTAAATGAGGACTGTATGTCCCTGGGCCAAATCCTCAAGAGGAGTAAAGCAGCTGCCTATTATTTCCCTGCCTCTGCTGGAGCACAGAACAAGCCCTGCAGGCATTCCCTGCACAAATCTGAGGCTGTTGGCCGGCTCAGCTCCTGCACGAGCATATCCAGAGGGATTTTGCTTGGCAGCACTGGAAGCCCACCCCTTAGTTCAGGAAAGGGCACTCAGCACGTGCAAACCAATATTGAAATGTCTTGGTCCCCTTCCCACTCGGATCCTCCCTCCCCCAGCATTAATTTCTGCTGTGAGCTGGCACATTTAGGGGGAGAGGGCAGGCAAGAACTAAAATTCCAGAGAGAATTATGTTTTGTAACGAAACAAATCACACCAAGCCGAGCTGGCCTTCATTATGTGATTATGATGCTGCTTAGGGACGTTTGGAGCTGACAAGACTTTCCATATTCCCATTTTTCTCCAGTGCAATCAGGTTGGACCCTCAGTCTGTACACTGCCAGACCTCCAAGAAATGAGTGCAGTGACTCCCAGATTCCCAGCACACAGGCATCCACTGCATTCAAAACTTGCTGGGTAATGATCACAGATGCTCCAATGCACACAGGTGTCTAAATATTATTTCTTGGTGAACAAGGCCTTGGGTTTAGCTTTCCAAAGATGTTTTTTCTACAGCGCTGCTGGCCTAACGTGACAGGGGTGCCAAATGCAGGTACACAATGTTACCTGAGGGACGAGGTGTCCCCGGGATCAACAGGGGCTTATTGGGAATATTAAACCCACCTCAGGTGAGACCCTGGAGAGGGATATTTAAAATCATGGTGGTGAGGCTGGAGCAGAGCAGCAGCTCAAGGCTGTGCACAGAAAGGCAACTGGGTGATGAAGGTGGGGGATTGCCCTGGGGGCTCCAGGACAGTGTGAAGGTCCTCACAGGACACAGGCTCATGGCCCTGGTGTCACCCTTGGCCTGCTGAAATTGCCTTGGTCAGTAAGTACATTGCCCCCCACCACGTCTTCTCCACTGTGGTGAGCACAGAGGGATAGGGAGAGATAACCAAAGGAAATTCTGCAAAGAAATTGGCTTAAAGCCCCGAGATCCCCTCCCCTGGCTCTATCCCTACCAGTTGGATACACTTTCTAACTGGTCAGCCACCCTCAGTGGCGTTTCCCGGCTCTCAGGGGAGCAGGACACTCATCCTTTCCTCCCCCCTTAGCAAAACAGCATCCCGTTAGTTCAGCTCCACATTCTGGAAAGGTCTGTGGCTGCAGGAGCTGAGCCCCAGCTCAGCTGGCAGCAGGGGAATGGCTGGCACCTATCAAGTTGCCACCTTCCTCCCCGCACAGCCAGCGGCTGAATAAATGTTAATGCACCCCATAAATAATTTAGGCGGCTTCTCGGCTTACGGGCTCTGCTCAGCCTGGATGAAAGCCTGGGGGGGAAACCAGCGTGGCTGGGGCAGAGCCCACAGGAGGGGATGGCAGCAAGTGCTTCTGCCCAGTGCTCCCCACAGCAGCAAAGCCACTGCCACCCCTTAGAGAGGGGTCTCAGGTGAGCTCCTGCAGGTGTGCCCTCAACTGCTCCCACAGCTGCTCAGACAGTGCTGGCTCCCCGGAGGGATCAGGCAGCACAGTCAGGAGAAGCTGCTGAGCCCAGGGCAGTTTGATGTGACAGTGATTTCTCGGGGGGCTGTGGGAAGCAGCAGTTTTTCTGTTTGGCTCCGTCTGTCCCTGCAGTGCTCAGCTGCACCTCGGGAAAACCTGTGAGATCAGGCCCCTGCCTGCTCCGTGCTCAATACACTCCTTTGTGGGAAAGCCCAGAACCTGACAGGGCACAGGGCTGGAGGAGGGATTGTGGAGGCTGAGTGAGGCTGCGGAGCGCGGCCACTTGACACTGCACCCCCGTAACCCAAGCCAGGCCTCGGCGCCGTAACAGGACACGGGGCACCAGCACAAAGAGAAGAGCCACTTCCTGCCCAGCCTGGCCCTGGACAGGGATCATCTCCCTGGGGAGCCACAGGCAGAAAGGCTCCACAGGAGGCTGCTTGGCCCTGGCTAAGCAGAACACACCGACAGAGAAGGAGTAAATTATGTTCAGTGGTCACGAACTGACTCTTGGAAGTCTCCACAGACCCCCTTGTCTCCCAACAGGGCCTGCACCGGAATGGTGCCACTCAGCATCATGTCTTTAAAGCTTTCATCTCACTGGAGAGAAAGCCTGAGGTCCAGCAAAGATCCAGCCTTCTTGCCCAGGCCATTAATTCCTCATCTCCACTGCCAGCCCTGAATAAGTCCCTTGTCCTCCTGCACTGTTCCCTCAGGGCCACTTCAGCTCCTTTCTTCAGGTCCCTTTCCCACAAGAGATTCCAGGTTCAGATTACCCCGCTCCCCTCCGACGCTGCTGTGTGGGTGACCCCTTTATTCAAAGCCTTGGACATTTAATACTCCAACTGGAAACAGGGCTGGAAGAAAAATCGGAAGCCAACATTCCTGTTGGTTCCTGCAGGTCAAACCCCAGTACTGGGTAAGACAGGGAACACATTGGCTCAGCTCAGCCCTGACTGGAGCTACTGGGAGGAGCGGGCACTGCTCCGGGTGCTGTTGGCTGGGAATTTGGGATGGCAGTTAGTGACAGGGATGCTGTGGGGAGGGATCTGCCACCTCTGACACTGCTCAGCATCTCCAGGGAACCTTTTTTGTTTGCTACTTCAAAACTGTTGAGCGCAAGTTTTCTCCTTGGATGGAGTAACTGCTCAGAGCTTGCTCAGAGCTTACTCAAAGGAACATTTTCCTAAATGGAAGTGGCCAATTACCTTGGGAAAAAAAGCTGTGGTACTTAATAACAATGAAAACAAACAAACAAACAAAACCAAAAAACTACCAACTTTTCATTATGAATTTTTTTGATCCCCAAGTAAAGCAAATTAATCTTTAACTAAATCAAGGTTCCCCCAATCTTACCTATTGTATTCTGACATTCAAAAAATGTCATTACCAGCTACGGGAAGTTCAGAAAACACCACTTTGGGTTGTTTGATGAAAAATAATTTGGCAGATTTCTCCCAGCTCTGGTTGTAAAGGCAAGAAGGAACATCCCTCCCCACGAGCCTCCCCCCCGGCTCCTCAATCCCCCGCTGATCCTGCTCCGAGCAGCACGGCCGTGCTGGACACAAACCCACACTGTTCCTCATGTGCTCAGTCCTTGCACAACCCGGGAGCTGGGTCAGGTTTTTGTTTGCTCTCCTGGAGTGGGTTGTGTCTTCAGCTAATAAACCAGGAATGTGAGCACTGGGCCCGAGCTGTGCAAATAGGAAGCGTGTGGAGTAGGAATTCAGCCCTGTGGCACCTGGCTCCTGCTCCCTGCTGCCACAGCCCATTCACACCTCCGGGAGAGCCGGGTCATTCACTCCCAGAGCTTCCAGAGCTGTCCTC